CGGGCCCGGCGGCATCACCAGTTTTGGTGGCAGGGCCAGGCAAGGGGACACTGCTGGTGGGAGCTGGGGAGGGTGGCTGGGGGGCTGTAGTGCTTCCTGGGGGGCAGCTGGAAGACCAGGAGCACTTGCTGGGAGAAGGTGCAGCCAGGGCAGTGGGGCTGGCCACAGGTAGGGCAAGGGCTCTGCCAGCACCCCCTGTGCTGCTCCCAGGAGAGATGAGATGGGTCCCCTGTGGGGACAGATGCAGCTGGGAGCCTGGAACGTGCACCCAAGTGTTCCCATGGGGCAGTCACCAGAGCCACGAGCAGCCACGTGTCACACCTCTGGTGCCTGCTGGCACAGCTCAGCCACAGAGCCCTGCCACAAGGGCAGGGGGACACCCGAGGAAGGGGGGCTGCTGGCATCCCACTGCCACCCACCCTGCCACCACCACATCCACCCTGTCCAAACCAGCCCGGGACTGTGCCTTCCCCGGGGTGACAGGTCTCTGCCAGCACCCTCAGGGAATCGGAGCCAAGGCAGGGATGGTGGGGAGGGCAAAAGGGCAGGGACTTTTGTGCTGATTTAGAAAGGGGGTGCAGGGAATGGAGGCGGCACATCCAAGGTGGGGTGATGCTGTTCCTCAGTGCCTCTGGGCTCACCCCAGAGCTTCTGGGGGGAAAGGTCTCCCAAAAGCCAAGTCTCTCAGTGGAAGATGCTCTGCTTGCCCTCCCGAGCCAGCTCTGCTGGTGCCCACAGGCTCCTCCTGCCCGTGGGATGGCACCTCTTGGTTAAACACAGGCCAGAAGTCTTAATGATTGACAGAGGGACCCAGCACCTCCCCTGGCCACAGCTGGAGGCGATGCCCCATCCCGCTCTGGGGCTGCCCCACAGGAACCAGCCCCTCTGCAGGGAGGCCAGGACGGCAACGTCCCTGGTGCCAGGAGCAGCTCCGGGTCTATAGGTTCTCTCCAGGCTGGTACTGGGGCTCTGTCGAGGTGAAGTAGTCCTCCAGGAAAGCCTGCAGGTACTCGAAGGTGGGTCTCTCCTCCGGGTCCTTCCGCCAGCACTGGCACATGAGGTCGTGCAGGGACTCGGGGCACTCGGGCGGGCAGGGCATGCGGTACCCCCGCTCCACCTGGTCCAGCACCTCCCGGTTCACCATCCCTGTGTGCAGCCACAGGAGACGTGGCACTGATTAGAGAGCAAGGCCAGGTCCTGCACTCCACCTTTCCCAGAGGTGACACCGAGGGCATTGTGCTGGGGTGAGTCTAATGGGCAACCCTGGTGACAGAGGAACCCTCCAGCATCCCTGCCAGCCTGTCACCTTGCCCAGGGACTACTGAAGGACAGGCTGGCTGTGACCCTGCCTCCAGCCAGGCAGGAGAGCTGGGCAGGAGAAGCTCAGCCCCGAGTCCACCCTCCCTGCCTAAATTGCAGGAGAAACTTTGCATTGGTTTGCTTCTCTGGGGGACTATGGGGTGCCAGGGGCAAGGACTGGGGACAGGGAGCTGTGCTGGGGCACCACAATGGAGATAGGGCTTCTGCCAGCAGGTGCCAGCCCTCACCTGGGTAGGGCACTCTGCCCTTGGTGGTCAGCTCGGTCAGGAGGATGCCAAAGGACCAGACATCTGACTTGATGGTAAACCTGCCATACAGGGCAGCTTCAGGGGCTGTCCACTTGATGGGGAACTTGGCACCTGGATGGAAAGGCAGGGTGAGAGGCTGCTCCTGGCCCTGTGGTGCCTCTGGGACCCCCATGCAACCACATGACAGCTTGAGAATCAACACACACGCCTAGGGATGAGGGACCAGTGGCCACAGCTCTGGTGCCACCTGCCTGGGCATGGTAGCAGCAGCCCTGGGCACTCACCTTGCCGAGCAGTGTACTCGTTGTCCTCGATGAGGCGTGCCAAGCCAAAATCAGCTACTTTGCACACCAGGTTCTCCCCCACCAGGATGTTGGCTGCCCGGAGGTCCCGGTGGACGTAGTTCATCCTCTCCACATAGGCCATGCCAGATGCAATCTGTGGGGACCAGCACATGGGGCACAGGCTGGCAGGTGACACAAGGGTCCCTTGGGGACATCCAGCATCACCAAGGGGAACAGCTCTGCAGCAGGACCCCATTTGAGGTGCAGGAATAGGTGGGTGCTCAAGAAAACCCAGGCAGAGGCAGGTTTGCTGGCCAGGGACAGCTGGCAGCAACAGGAACTGGCCAAATGATGGTCCCTGAATGCAACCCTGCTCCGGGCTGAGCAGCCAGCAGGATGGTGGCACCCGCCTGAGTGAGGCTGTGGAGTACCCACCACTCAGCAGGGGATGACCACGAGAGTCCAGCAAGGTGCTGGGGCAGCCAGTGCCCTCAGAAGGGGAGGCAGGAGGCTCCAGAGATGCACAAACCCACCTGAGCCGCCATATCCACCAGCTGGGGCAGCCGCAGGTACTTCCCCATCTCCCCCTTCAGGAAGTCCAGGAGGCTCCCTGTGAGGAAGACCATGGTCACAGCAATCCGGAGGAGCAGAGCCCCTCAGCCACCCCCTGGTACCCTTCCCGTGCTCACCCTTGCTCATGTACTCAGTGACAATGTAAATGGGCTCCTCTGAAACCACAGCGTAAAGCTGGACCAGCTTCTCGTGCCGGAGCTTCTTCATGACCTGGGCCTCCTGCAGGAAGGCCTCTGGGGACATGGTGCCAGGCTTCAGCGTCTTGATGGCCACCCGGGTGGTGCCGTTCCAGGTCCCTGTGGCACAGGACACACCGCTCAGGACACACTTACTGGGCAGGGGACAGTGTCCCTCGCCTGCTCCCCCACCCCACTGCAGGCTTCAGGCACCTGCAGGTGGTGACACAGAGGGGACAGAGGGAAAGGAATGATCCTTACCCATCCACACCTCTCCGAAGCAGCCCTGTCCCAGCTTGACTTCCAGCCGCAGCGATTCCCGGGGGATTTCCCAGGCATCCTTGGCAAGGCCTTGGGTCTGGGGCTTGGACGTGGGGCAGACGTTGGTGAGACGGTGGCACAGACCGTCAGCGTGTTCTAGCACAGGAGGGACAACACCAGGATGACACTGAGGCACGCGATGTCTTTACCCCACAAAAACACCTCAGGGACCCAAACCCTCTTCCCTAAAACCCAAGCAGCTTCTTATTAGGGTCCCCAAAAACTGTTTTGGAGTCCTCCAGCCCCACACTGACTGACCCGTCCCGCAGCGAGGACAGGCACAGCACCCAGGGTGTCACCCAGACCCCCAGGGGACCCCGGGTGGCTACCCACTGGAGTAGTAGGCCACCAGCTGCTGCGTTGTTGAACTGGGTGCGGGAGGTGATGTAGAAGCCGCCGCTGTCCAGCTTGCGGATCTTGTAGTGCTTCACGTTGAGCCCCTTAGCGTTGTCGAAGTCGGAGACAGAGAGGCAGTAGGCACCTGTGGGCAGGAGGGAGGGATGGGGGGAGATGTGCTGCAGGTCCCACCTGGGGGGGGTGGGCATAGGGGAGGAGGGCTGGGCACGCAGGGTGCTGGTCCCACCCAAAGGCTGGGGAGGGGGAGCTGGCACCTCGTGCCAGGGAGGGGTGACATGTGGCCCTTGGGGACAGCCCTGCCACCTGGTCACAGCCTCCAGCTGCCCCTGCTGGCAGGGCAGCTCTGCCAAGCTTGCCACCAGCCAGTGGAGGGGGCTGTCAGGTCAGTCATCTGGGCACAGTGATCCCTGCTGCTCCTCCAGCCCTGGCAGCCAAGAGCTGGCTCAGCATTCCCATGGGATGTGCTGTAAGGGACATCACTCCCCCACAAGCCCCCCAGCCCTGCCTGTCCTTCTCTCCAGCTGCTGGGGCTGCAAAGAACAGCAAGGAAGATAAATGCTGCTGCTTGGACAAGCTGTTTCCACCAGAATAAAATCAATACTGGCAAGTTCAAGGCATCAAACCAGAAAGGAACATCAAGGATCTTTATCCCAAAGGCGTGTTTGGAGCCAAACAAAACCACGTATCTAGGGAAGAAACAGCAACCTCAGGCAGCCAAACTGCAGAAATCACAACTTGTGCTTTTGGGAGGCACAAAACAAGGATAAAGAGTTGCTAGACTTGAAAGAAGGACCCAAAGATTCATCAGTACTTCTGCCTGCTTTCCCAGGAAGCACACGTTCCAGGTTTTGCCACTACACAGGAACCAGGAAAAAAACCAAAAAACATCTACTTGGGGCTGTGAAAAAAACAAACTTTAAAAAAAGAGAATCCTGCCTGGTGGTGCTGCCTGGGGTGGTGGGGCTCTCACCCTTCCCTGAGCTGAACTGTGTGTCTGAAGGGCGAGCACTGCTCCCTGGGGACCAGCACTGGCAGGAGGCCCCCCCAGGCTGCCCGTGCCCAGGGGCATCGCTCACACCCCCCCCAGCATCGGCTCCTGTCTGCAAAGCACGACCTTTGCCTACTTCTCCCTCCCCATCTGCCCAAGCAGGGGGAACTGGGAGCGTACAAAGTGACTGAGGGGACTGGGATCCCCACGTGCTCCCCCAGGCTGTGTCCCCCCCACCCCCAGCCCTGCTCACCTTTTGTGGTCTCGCTCTCCCGGACCAGGAAGGTCCCCCGGGGGTTTTCAGGGTTCAGCA